GAAGCCACGGCACCCTTGGGTACCACAGCTTCCTCACACGGGTGCCACGAAATGTTATAAAATTTTTATAATGTTAAAATTTAATGTACTTGTTAGAATTTGACATAGGGCGCCTTGAAAAAATCTGCATTTAGCAAAGGTGCCGAGAATCAAAAAATTTGGGAACCACTGACTTAGGGCATAAATTCAACTCAAACTGGGTATATGTAAGTACAGTACCTTGCCAAATTATTAGAGACCATGCAAAAAAATTGATGATTTGTTAGTTTTTGATGTAATAATTAAATAAAAATGCAGTTGTTCATAGGCTTATTTAAAATATTAATGTTTAATTATGTCTTATGAGAAAAAGTAAGTTTTTGCACATAAAAATGTGAATATAATAGAATTTAAAAAATGAAAATTAGTATTTTGAATGACCATCTTTAACAGCAAGTAGTACCTCTATATCACAAGGAATACTCTTAATACATTTTTTTTTTATTTTTGTACTCATAAATGGAGCTATGTTGACATACCTTAATAAGAACCTCTATCACTTCCCTTTTTGTAGTAGAAAGTTAATTTTTTTACATTTACAGGTTGCCATATAAAAGAATTGTTAAAAATGTTTTGGATATAATAGAGAATAGGAATAACATGAAATAAATACTCGTTTCTTAAACATTATTAAGAAAAAAAGAGAAGAAAAATAGTACAAAAAGTATGATTTTAATCAATGAGTCTAATAAATTGGCAAAGTACTGTAAGCACAAAAAAAAATTCCAAAAGAAATGTCACCCTCTTTTAGCATGAACCATTTTGTTTTAACAGTTGCATTTGAAAAAAGGTCTTTTAGCCTGCCAACAACTATTTAACATAGATGGAAACATTTGCTTTTATATTTCTTTTTGTAGTTCCTGCTGGTTATTGGTTTTATAGTGATTATTATACAGGGCATTTAAATTGTGTTATTTTTACTTTATGTATACAAGTTTATTAGGTTATTGTTAAATTCTGGAAATGGATTAATTTACTTTATTGTTTCTAATAGGAAAAATTGATTCAGACTTTGAACAATTCAGAATTTGAATGGCCTCCTAAAACGAACTAAAGATGAAGTAGGAAGCACCACTGTAATAAAGAAGTAGCCAATTATTACTGATGACAATTTAGGGAGCACTAGCTAGGAAAGAAAAAAAAAAAGTATATTCTTTTTTTTTTTACATATCTAAGGCCAATAATACAATTAGCATTAGAAGTAAAATGTTTAGAGCAGGAGCTGACATAAAAATGATTCATACCACTATCAAATCACTATTTGGTTGATCAAAGTTTAAAATTTAGACAAAATAAAATGTTACTACTTATGTTTTGTTCTGAACAATGTTTATTATAAAGAGACTCTGTCTCACATTTTTTATATTTTAGACATAAATAAAATTTTTTAGAGAAGATTAAGGATGAGAGAAAGTGATTTACACTATCTTCTATACTGATGATAATATATTGTTGATCCCATCTCTAATTATAAAGATCTCCAGAGGAAAATCAATAAAATCAGCAAGTACTGTGTTAAGGAAAATTTTGTCATTAATCTCCAATCATTTTTTTTTTATAAATAGTAGAAGGATGGCCAACAGAATAGTCTGTTTTATATAAAAAGGTATATACTTTGGGTTAAGTCAAAATTTAAATATCGGAATTATTTACATCATTCTTGGATTTCCACGATCATTTTAAATCAGACTAAAGGAAAGACATAGGTACTTATAAGAAAATTTCTTTTAATTTTTTTACACAAATGAATTGATGTTGAACAATTCAATTTTATCCAACCCTAGACATCAATTTTTTTTTATTAACACTAATATGCTACAGAATATACTGTTCAAAAATTACTTAAATTGAATTATGACATTCCTAGTCTAACTTACAAGTAATATTTAATAATGATAATTAAATCCAGTTTAACTTAGTACATGGTTAAATCCAACATACATAACTATACCAGAAATATCCAGCACAAAATATACTTACTAAAAATAACAAAAACAAATGTTTGATGATTTTTAAATCATCATCTTCAGGTTAAAAATCTTCAGGTTAAAAACAATCTAACATCAATAAGAAAATTTGAATGTTACTTCAAAAATGCATGGAACAATATTTCATTGGTTGAAAAAAAATGCTGACTTCAATAATGACGATTATTTTTTAATAATTGTCATTATAAAATAACCATTTAATATTCAGTCATTTAATAATTACTTAATAATGAGATATGTAGCATGTTTGATTAGAATTGAGTATGTTAAGCTTAGTACCATGTTTTGTTAAAAAAAATATTTTTTCAAAATGCAAAGAATTAATTTTGAAGGAGGGTTTATTTTCAATAATGGACATGAAACAATGAAAACCAACTTTTTAAAAAACTGATTAAGATGGAATTAATGTTTAACAAATTTGGATTATCTGGATTAGTTTTTTTTTGAATGTTGAAGATGAATGACAAGCTATTAATGAGTAATGTTTAATAATGTGAGATACAAGATATCTAGCTTGTCTAATTATAGTAAACAGAAAATGTTTAAATTATATGCAGCTTACCCCTTTAAGAGTGAACTATTTATTGGCATCACTTTTATTTAAATTAAAATAGTTTATGCAGTTGAACAATAAACATTTACATTGGATTTATATTGATTCAGTTGGAAAATATAACTTATGAGAATTGTAATGTGGTATGGGATATTTAACACATATATTGTGTTTGCAATATATATATATATCTCAAGAGATCAGATAAATATTCTGGAATATTTGAGAAGTTTTAGAAATTTTGATCAGTCAAAGATTTATTAGAACTCAATGGATGCTGACCAGATTGTTTATATAATTATTTTGTAGAAGTTAATGAAGTTAACAGTATGTAATTAACTATTAGCTATGATTAACTCTAGGCTACTTATTTAATAGTTCAATATGATAGTCAAACAAAGCAAAAAAAAAAAAAAAACAAGCAATATTTTCATTTTGTATTAAAGACCTTTTGTAAAGTCAGCTTCATTCTAATCTCTCTTGTACTTGGTCTAAATAGGAAAAATAAATAAAATTTGATTTGATTTGTTGACCTCAGAGTAGATTTACCTTAGTAGTAAATTTACCTTAGATCAATATTTTTAATTGATCTAAGGTAAATTTTGATTATTCTGTTTTTAAAGATCTACATTTTTAGAGAAATTATTAATTTTAGAATATAAATAATGATAATAAAAACAGTATATATCAGTTCTATAAGGCAAATGAATAAATAAACAACTGGACAATATCTGAATATTGTCAAATTGTTATTAATTTAAAGTTATCTTTAATGTAAAATGCTTTGTGTGCATATACTATATGCATCTGCATAAGCAAAGATTTAGTTGTGTCAACATTTTGTATTCAGTTTACTATTATACAAGATCAAATGCATACAGTAGTTGAAAACCCTGTCTTTCAGGCTGAGAATCCACCTTTGGAAGCAGCTGTCAGCCAGAGAAGAAATTTTTTAGCTGTTTTGAGATAACACCTTTAATGCATTGTCTTCACAAATAAATTTATGACCAATACTAAAACTCTCAAGTTTGCTTGTATCATATTTCTTTCTTTAGAAATTGTCTATTCTCCAACATTAACATTTTCTTTAGAGTTCAACATTGCCAGACATGATAACTCTCACATGCATATGAGAATCTCAATAAAAGCTTTCAGTTCCTGATTAAATTATGAATAATTTTTTCCTAAAAATTTCCTGGTACAAAATTTTGTATCAAAACGCAAGAGATATATAAGATCATCTGTTCTTTTGTATGAAAAAGCCAATTTGAAAGTTCTTGTAAATTAAGTCGCATGCCAAAATTACCTTCCTCCAGGCTGTAAAAATTACAGTACTAATTTTTGTAACTTATCAAGTCAGCCTCATCTATAATCTAAGGTAAGCAAGTATGCAGATTATTTTGTTTTCAAGAATATTTATGTTAGAACTTCCTTTCAATTTACAATTTAATAATCTATTAAGGTAATTAACACAGATTATTAAGGGAACTCTAATTAATAAAAACACCTAGCATCCACTGTGACATTCCATTGTGAATTTCAATCCAAGCTGTTTATATGGAGCAAAATATAGGCAAATCTGACCAAGATGAAAAAAAAAGAAGAAGAAAACTGTGAGAGAAATTTTAATTATTTGTTGTCATTCATCCAGAGGGGGCGAGAACTGGAAATTTTCCCCCTCGGGCCCGTAGATAAACTTAAGTGTCCTTAATGGTAACCCCCTATAAGTTAATGTTACTTTTACTAATTAGCAATTTTTTTTTTTGAACAAATGAAATTAACGATAATGAAAAAGGGAGCCGCTCTAATCCGGATCCCTATATTAGCTCTGGATGGTCCCGCATAGGCGAATATTCAATTTCACTTGACAATGCGTTACCCATTATGTCAATCGTTTAAAAAAAAAATAGATATTTTACTTCTTTTTAACTTCTATACGAGTTTTAAGGATAAAACAAATACATATTTCGGTAAAAATTTCCCCGTTTCGAACTGGTTTTCACGATATATACGAAAGCATTTCAAAAATAGATATTTTTTTTTTTGTTGTTGTTTTTACATTTAAAATTACAATTTAAACAACACCCGCAATGAAATAAATTCGAAGTTTGGAAAGCGCTCTTTATAATTTCGAATGAAAATAATTTAAAATATCGATTATCATTGTCATAAGTGAAGGGGCACGCACTCACGCAATCCCTTTCAGCATTTAACCATAATTTCCACCGCTGTCATTCACGATATACGAATAGAATCGATAATTACTAACCATAAGAACTAACGAATTTAAATCGAATAACTTTCAAGCGTGTTTTAGCGTGTTAAAATTTTAAATCACTACAAAAAAAAACTATGTAATGACATTAATAACGTGACATTATACAAGAAAATAATTATTCTCGTAAACGTTATAAACTTACCCTTTCTGCCATAACTTAACGACCGAAGAGTTCATTTTCAACTTTTATCGCATCAATTAAAATCACATGATCGGCGAACGGAACATGGCGCCCTACAAGACGATTGCGTCATTTCCTGTTAACGAGAGAAGCCATGGAAATGTTATCGGGTGCATACGTATCGAATTTCGGTTGAAAATTTCGTTATCGATAATCTATCGAACTTACCAAATATAAAATTCGATTTCTTATAAGGAAAAGGTCGTTCGTTTGTCGACTTTCACGGCAAACCACTGGTCGAGGTCGGATCTAATGCGTTTCCGGAATATTAAGTAAACACGTGGGAAATTATTATCGTCGTTTACAATTGATCGACACAATAAAGACAATAAACTGTTAAAAACTGTTTTAATTACGATTAAAAAATCCTTACAGTGTGTACTTTTTCTTTACGAAATTGATATAAATTTGTCAATCCTTTTAGATCGTTACGTAGAAATAATGGGCCTCATTCCAAGGACGCGAAGAGGGGAGAAGTATACTTTAAATGAATACAAAAGAGACGGGTTATACGCAATCGCATCAAAAATTAAAATAAATCGGAAAGTAATAGTCGATGATGTTTATTATTTAAACGATTTACGTGACAGGTATGGTAAGTACACTTGGTGGGATTCTTTCCTCATCCTTGCGGAGTTCCTTGCTCTCTCTGTAAGGGTATATGCAGTATAAAAAAAGAATATCTTTTTTATCTTGAAAATCGAAAAAAACCAGATTAAGAGCATCTCCGGAAGTCCATTGTTTGCCGATTTGTAGAATGCTTACGATGTTCTGTCCAAATACGCAGTCTTATTTGCAATTTCATGTGTAACATCGTTTTAAAATGAGAGAAAAATTTATATTAATTTATTCTAAATTAAAATGTTTTGCTATTTATACATCATATAATGTTACTAATAATCTTTGTATTAGGTACACTGATTAGGAATGACAAATTGCTTAACGCCAACCATTCAAAATGTAACTTACATTCAATATACAGTATGAGAGATTTATGAGAATTTAATACGTATAAAGTTTTAGGTATTTTAAATACCTCTTCGGTTGGTTTTTTTTGGTACGAAAAATAGGCCAATAAACCTTGTGATTGTCCTCTTAAATATTTACGATAGATATTGCGAAATTGGAACGCATTGGGATGGCTGAAAATGTGTCATGGCTTCCTCTGATTGTTATAAATATTCATTAATTTAATAATAGAATGATTTAAAATCAATTAGTGAATTTGTTATTTTATGTGCAGATAATGTAATAATGAAAGTTACTGTGAAGATGATATATGTTATGTGACTGTTTAGGAACCACATAAAAATCCTGTAATTTCCAGTTCTGTGGCAAACTAAATAAAGAAGATAAGAAAATATAAATTTATTATAAATGAATTTTCATTTGATAAGAACATCAGTCCAAAAGAATAGTATATCTAAACGAGCATTTTATCTACTCTCTTAGATAAATAAAGGAAATAATTTGTAGATTAAAATGGATTATCTTTTGTTTGTTTGACATATCAATGACTGAAGTTTAAAATTTTACTTTTCCTGTTTTTAAGATTAATACATGAGAGTCTTTTCAAATATAGATTTTGACTTTTAACA